AAACATGGCAGAAGCAAAATATATATGCCATTACTACTGTTGTATATCTAATGCTCATCACTGCCACTGAGTTTTTGGCCTTCTGCTAAATGGACAACACCTATTTCATATGCTTGTAGGAAGAAAACATTATGACAATATACTACTGCACCAAGTTATCAGTTCAAGTTCATTTTTCTGGCTGTATCCAATGTCACAGTCCTTTGGAGCAAAGGCCTCAAGGTCATGGCCATCATTAAATTCTTATTATTATTATTATTATTATTATTATTATTATTATTATTATTATTATTATTATTATTATTATTATTATTCTTTACAAGCTCTATACTCCACAGTCAAAGAAATGTTTGCATGCACTTTGACAAAGTGATAATAATTATGATACTAAAGATAATTATAATAATAATAATAATAATAACAATAATGATAATGACAATGGTGATGATGATGATAATCATAATGAAAATAACAATAATAATAACCATAATAACAAAAACAACAAAAAAGTTATTAAAAATTATGATGAAATAATAATAATAATAAAATAATAATACTAATACCAATAATAATAATAATAAAAATAATAATCATAATATCATATAATATTGATAAGAACAATATTAATAAGAACAATAATATCAATAACAATAATAATAATAACAATAAAAATGATAACACTGCCAATAAATATAAATAACAGCAATAATGATAATGATGAGAACAATAATATCAATAACAATAATAATAATAACAATAAAAATGATAACACTGCCAATAAATATAAATAACAGCAATAATGATAATGATGATAAATATCATAATAATAATAATAACAATAACAAAATAACAATAACAATAACAAAAACAATAATAATAATAATAATAATAATAATAATAATAATAATAATAATAATAATAATAATAATAACAACAATAATAATAATAATAGTAATAGTAATAATAATAATAAAATGACAATAATAATAATAGCAAGAAATATAATAATAATAACAATAACAATATTGTAATAATAATCATAATAATAATAATAATAATAATAATAATAATAATAATAATAATAATAATAATAACAATAACATTAATAATAATAATATTAATAATAATAATAATAATAATAATAATAATAATAATAATAATAATAATAATAACAATAACAATAACATTAACAATAATAATAATAATAATAATAATAATAATAATAATAAAATAGTAATAGTAATAGTAATAATAATAATAATATTATTATTATTAATAACAATAATAATAACAGTAACAATAATAACAATAACAATAATGATGATAATAATAACAATAATAATAACAACATCAATAATAATAACAATAATATTGACAATAACAATAATGATGATGACAACAACTAATAACTATTGATATGATAATACCAATAACAATAAGAAGACTTGAAATAATAATACAAACAGTATATGTAAACAATATGATAATAGCATAATCTTTACAACTAATTTGTAAAACTAACTATCTCTTGGAGTGCACTTTTGATGGTCTATTAATTTTTATTATCTCCGTTTCACATAACATACTGTTTAGAGCACAATTCTCCATGAATTACCTGTATTGTCTTATATTTAAGTAACTAAGTGAACGCAAACATTTCCCCTCTGACTATTTCTTTCATGAGCGATGCATCATAAATTGTAAATCCTGTAAATTTGCCAGAGTTCGGCTTCATTCACAACCAATAAAATCTATTACCGTATACTGTTCGCATTAAAATGATTATCGAGCGAAACTGCGCTCTCAAAATAACCTACTGTGACATTTTAACAGTGACACAATACACTTCATTTTACTTACATTACAGGATACCCTTTGTGACCTCCTTCCAGCCTCTGACTGAACTACTTGCAATGGCCAAAGCAATATCCTAATCTCAAAAGCTACGTCATGCTGACACATCCTATTCCCCGCCCACAGGACGCACGTCATAATAGTCATTTGTATGGACTGCTACACTCGCATACTAACCGGTAGGAGAGGAGGTAGTTGGACAGACGGTGAAGCAGACAGATGGTGAGGCATAAGAGACTGTAGGGGAATGAGATGGAGCGAGCGAAGAACCCGTGTCAACCCGCCATCACGATCATGGTTGTTGTCGCGAGGATCAACTGCTTCCCCTCAGCGATCCTCACTTGTCCTGCCGGCGAGGGGGGCGCCGGCCGCTCATTTGAACTCCCCTTTCTTCTCTTTTCCTGCTTTTGCGTAAGTGGAATTGGACTGCTAGCTATTAAAGTCTTTACTGTTACTTTTCTTGTAATTTTCTTTGGGTTATTTTTTTTTTATTTATTTATTTTTTTTAATAGAAATACTTCTTGGCTAGCTTTGCTAATTTCTAATAATTTCAAAAATATATTAAGTTGCTTAGACGATGAACAAAAAATATTGCTGTGTAACTTCTTTGATCGAAACAGCGATTGTTAAGAACAAACTTTGTGTT